CCAACAATTAAAACATGGGGAAAACAAAAACATAAAATAGAAATCTATACACAGGAAGGAGGGGTCACTGAGGGAATTCCAGACAAAACAAAAAGTCTGTACCTACTGGCAGACAATGGCAAAAGGAGACAGATGAGTATGTCTGGGTCGTAAATTCCAGAGTTTTGGTTCCATGACCTTGAAGGCCCTCTTCCACTTGTCACCCATTTAATCTCAGAAGGCAGGAGCACCCTAACCGGGGCCTTGGAAAGTCACTGTAGTGGTCAGATAAGTTCAAAAGGGAGCAGGTGATCCTTCAGGTATGTCAGTCCCAAACCATATAGAGCTTTAAAGATTAAAACCACCATCCTGAAATGTGCCTGGACACTGACTGGGAGCCAGTGTAGATAGGCCCAGACTGGAGTAATATGGTTCTACGACTAGTCAGGGCTACCAAAGCTATTTCAGTCCCATAACCAGGCTGAAACCCACATTGGAAAGGAGCCAAACAATATGTATCATCCAGGAAAGCTTGACTGTAAGAAAGCTTGACTGTCTCCCAAGAAGTGTTTCCCACCGTATAAGAACTCCCAAGGGAGAGGAGGTTGCTGAGGGAACTAGAAGAGTATCTTATACAGAGGTTTGGGATCTAATTGCTGTTTGCTACTATTACATAGCACTTAATGCTTTCCTTTTGTCCTTGTGTGCCCTTTGTAGGCAGCCATCCAAAATGGGCAGAGGCCAGCATGCTGCAGTGCCAACTATTTGCCTAGCTTAGAATACAGCTAAAAGCATCAGGGGCCAGAGTGCATTGAGACTATATGCTGCATCTTGGCAGATGCATTGGTTTTTGCAGAGAGGTAAGAAAAATATAACGTTTAAGTAAAAACGCTAAAATGTCCCTGGCAGTATTTCTATATCTTCTAGTTCTTTTGTCATTGAGGCAGATATCCATGACATATCTATTCTAGACCAGGATTTATGCCTATGCGAGTAAAAAGTGTAGTCTTTTTTCTCCGGGTTTCTCATTCTCCAAGCGTCTATCATAGTGTGTTCGTCTACTGTCTGCAGAAATAGTTTCGGTAACGTTTTGCCGATTTTATTTTTCTTTTGTGATTTCCTATCTAAGTTAGCATCATAAACAGCATTAAAGTCTCCTATTATACACACTTCTTCCATTGTAGTGTTAACTAATATACTTTGTAGCTCTTTGAAAAAAAGTTCTTGGTTTTGATTTGGAGCATAAATGTTAATAACTATCATATTTTTTCCTTCCCCTATTATTGTATTTGCCACAATCCTTCCATCATCTGATCTATATAATAATTCTGGACTCAGAAATTTCTTGGCATATATTACCACTCCTCTTTCCTTTTTATAATCTGCTGCAATAAAATGTTCTCCTAACTTTTTGTTCTCTAGGTATTTCGCATTATTCTTATTTATATGCCTTTCCTGTAAACAGATTATTTCTGCCAGAAGTTTTGTTATTTGGTAAAATATTCTTCTCCTTTTTTTGTGGGCTGTTTAGTCCATTAATATTAATTGATAGTAGTCTCAAATGCTTATTTTTCACCAGATGATTTATTTTCCTCTGCTCTTTCATTTCTTTGCTGATATCTTGTCTTCATTTGGGATACGGGTATTTTGGCATACCTCTTCCCTCTTTTCTGTTTAGGTTTTTCCCATCTCCCTGCTTCTACTATATTGCTATCATATTCTCTCTCCCCTTCTTCGGCTTTTCTTTCTTCATCTTCCTCTTCTTCATGTTGCCAGCCTAATTCTTCTCCATACTTATCTAAAAAAAATTCAACTTTGAAGATGGAATCGATCCTTTGTCTTCTTTCCTTATATGTGAATAATAATCCTTCTGGGATCAACCATCTGTACATTATTTCATTTTCCCTTAGAATCCTTGCCAGTTCATTATAATTTTTCCTTTTCTCCCTGATCTTCTCTCTCCCTCCTTTTTTCCTTAGAATCCTCACCAGCTCGTTATAGTTTTTCCTTTACTCCCTCACTCTCCATGGTGTTTCCTTTAACAATCTTATCTCCTCCCCTTTTATTACTAGTTTATGTTCATTGGCAGCTTTCAATATTTTATCTCTGGTTTCCTTTTAAAATTTTTTTACATGCACTTCTCTTGATGCCTTAGTTCTTCTTGAGTATGCTGAATTTCTCCTGTAAATTGTCTTTATTTCTTTCGATACTTCTTCTTCAGATCCTACTTTTAATTGCTCTGCTATGCTGCATGCTAATTCTTCTTTTAAGTTTTTATTTATGTCTTCTTTTATGTTCTGGCATCTTATAATCAGGCTAGCTTTGTCTATTTCAAGACTTATTAGCGTTTTCTCCATTTTATCTGTTCTAGTTTTAACTTCTTGTAGTTCTTGATCTATACTTTGTACCTCTTCTTCAAGTTTTTTTGTTGCTGATGCAACATTTGTTATTGCCACTTTATTATCTAAAATTTGTTTTTAAATTTCTTCTGTCTCTGTCTTTATTTGATTAGAGATTTCTTCCATTTTTTCTCGCAATGGTTCAATTTCCCTCTTCATTATTCCTGGCAGTGTATGTTCAGTGTGTTTCTGAAGCACTAAGGTAATACTCTCTTGTATAAGTAGTGTTAACTCTTTCGCTGACATTTGCCCCATATTTGTTTTTGCCTGCCCTGTGAGTCCTAGTTGTCCTGGGGGTGGTAATGAGTTTTTCCTTACGCTGCCTAAGTTGCTGGATCCTGATGCCATTTTATATTTTATTACTTTTATTATTTTTTATTCGTTATTGGTTTTTGATTGCTAGATTGTTTACTTTTTACCCCTTATATGCTGTTTGTTATTTGCCTTTGTTGTCTCTCCACTTGTATATTCTATTGCACCAATTTATTTTGGCCTGTCCTTCTTTTGTATCTGCCTTTTTCTTTCTTAACTCTTAGTTTCTTACTCCTATTTACAAGTGTCCAGAGGCTATTAGGCTGCCTATTTCCCCTGTCCTTCTTTTGTATTATTATTATTTCACTTTGCTTCTATTTATGCAGTGTCCCTTTAAATGTCTCTCTTTAGCTCTCTATTTTGCTTTGCTTTGCTTCTAATTATGCAGTGTCCCTTTAAATGTCTTTCTTTAGCTCTCAGCTCCGTTTCTTACTTGCCTCTATTTATGCAATGTCCCTTTAAATGTCTCTCTTTGGCTCTCTATTTCGCTGTGCTTTGCTTCTAATTATGCAGTGTCCCTTTAAATGTCACTCTTTAGCTCTCTCGGCTCCGTTTCTTGCTTGCTTCTTTAACGCGCTCTTTCTACTTCGCCATCTCTGGTCGTCTCGTCCCGCCTCTTTTTGTCTTTGCTTTGTTTGTCTCTGCTCTGCCTCCGTCTGGCTCCTCCCTGCTTCGTTCTACGCTGTGCTGCCTCCTCTCTGCCTCCGTCTGACTTCTCCCTGCGTCGTGGAAAAATTGGGAAATATTGGGGAACTGAAACAAAATTCCTATAATTCCCCCCACCTTTTGGAATGAGTGGCATGAAAGACATAGTTCTATTCAAAATGTGTTGTATGATAATTGTAATGAAAGGCAATCTACTTCAGGTAATGATATTTTCTACGTATACTTTTAGACAGATACAACAGAGTCAAAATTTTTGGAAATATAAACAGTCCTGGCAATAATATGCTTTAATGGTTTTATAACAAATTATTACAATACAGAATGTTCAATGTTACAAAGTGGAACAATATTCAGATCTGCTGGTAGCACTACCTATTGTGAATATATGAGAGTGGTTCTGTTCAATTAGTGCTTTTTTGTTTTCTACCTTCAACTTTTATCTTTTTCTTGCCTCTCAGATAACAAGTGTGATTCACATTCTGTGGTAACATAAGATACACAAGTTTGCAATTCTAGTTTACTACTCTTTCTCAAGTACTGGTTGTCCTTAAATTTTTTGTTATAGAAAATGACATTTATATCTCTAAATTCCATAAATATGCCAAACAGTATATTTTTACATGTTAATTAATCTATAAATGATGTATTTTATGTTACTGAATCTGTACAAAGTTTGATAAGAAACTAAGTATTGCATATATTTCAAAAACCCTTCCTTTTTGTTAGAATTTTTTTTCTGTGCCTTCAATTTTTTTGGAAATTTTAAACATATATCTTATTAGTCTCTTAGTTCCTTTCCCCCTTCTTATTGTTGTAACTTTTCCTATGAGGGCTAAGCAGAGGTAGGTTATCTGCTTGATGCCTCTGTGTAATTATTTTGTGCCTTTAATTCCTTATGTCCATTCACCACTGAGGGTTAATAGTCTAAATAACCTTGTGCAGGTTAAATGTGAAAATCTTAGAAAAAAGCCTGTTCTAATGCTGCTTTAACATGATCATTTTTAAAACAGTTTTTAATATACTTGTGCTTTGCAAATAATTATTGAATATTTTAAAGAAAAGCTTTTGCACACACTTTCCTATAATCTTCTTGTATAGCTTCTGTATAGTACCATTGCTATGAGGACCTTTACAAAACTGTGGGTTAGCTCCAAAGTCATCCACTAGTGAAAGGAAGGTGACTCTTGACAGTATATCCCTTCCTTCCGTGGATCCCCACATCTCACCCTATGTTCCTTTTGACATCCCCTTCCGAAGTATGATGGGAAGGGAGAGGTGGGAAAGAACATTTTGAGCGGTACTCTTCCTGTGGTCTTTCAGATTCAACCCAGTGTCTCCTCTTTGTCACAATGAGTTGATGTTTTGTCATTCAATTTTCTAGGGTACAGTATTTTTCCAGCACCAAGGGGAGCAGTCTGTTTCATTCATCTTATACTCTGCCTCAGAAAAATGTGCTGAATGTTTCCAAACTCTTACCTTATTTTCTGAGTGGTACTGTTTATTTCAAGATAATACATTTGTATGATTTATAACTCCCCAGGCCACACAGAATAGGGAAAAAATGTCTGCAGGCAGTCTGTAGTAAGCTAATAGTTGGCTGTGGTGTGTTTGAATGTTTGGTATCTATAATTCACTATGCAGGTACAACAGATACTTCGTGAAAGATTTTGTCATCTAAGTCCAAGTGCAAAGTTGTTTGGAATGGAGCTGCAGTACAAGTAAGTGAGCAATCTGTCCCCCCTCCCCGGCCAAGAGAATACTCTCTTCCCTCCTTACTGGTCCCTTAGATACTGATCTGTATTTTGAGTAACGTTTTGTTTATAGCCCATCCTCAAGAGGGCCTTTATAAAGGCCAAAGCATGTAAGTAGAATGTGGTAGTAGTTTATGGTGTCAAATGGCAGCTTGGTTTTCCTTTGATTCTCACAACAGTTATGATTGGATGTATTAGTGTTAGTTGACCTAATGAAAAGTTTCATTTTATAATATTAGATCTTCTCTTGGAGTATATGATTATTCAACATGTTTACTTCCAGCTACGGTATCAGTGTCCTTTAGGGCCTCAGGAGGATTCAGAGCAATATGTCAGTATCATCTGATTTAAAATGGATGTATCATTGATACCCGAAGGGAAAATCAGGGAAGATCCATGACTGTCAACCAAATTAAAAATAGCTTGCAAACCAAATTACCCTGTTAAGAAGAGAATGGCTACTTGAATCTCATAAATAAATGGCAGTTTCAAACACGTGTCTCAAACACATTTCCCTTCTTGAATGATTTTTTCTTCATAGGTGATTTCCCTGCTGTGTTCTCGAATATATATTCGGCTATCCTGAAAAATTGATGAATAGGTTGGGTTGGATCATAAGATATCTCTTCTGTGGCCATACTTTTTTTGAAGTATATCTGCTTGTTTTGTTATTTGTTGAGATCAACCATACTGAAAGTCTGTATGTGGTTCTAGAATTTTATTGATGTAAATATGAAATGTACTATTTATCTGTTGCTTTTGCTGACATTTAGTTTTCTATGGCTGACTGTATGTTTTAAAGTCTAATTAATTGTAATTTTCTCATTACAAGAAGTCTTAAAATTTAATCTCTAACCTTGTCCCAAGATCTGCCTCTTAACTTTATAGTACAACCATATGGAGAGTTACACCAGTCTAAGTCCATTGACTTCAATTAGCTTAGACTGGAGTAACTTACCATAGGATTACACTGTTCGTTTTTATATTTCTCTTTCCCCCACAGGCATTTAGCTGAGCTGTTAAAACGTACTGCTGTCCATGGTGAAAGCAACTCTGCACTTATTATTGGACCTCGAGGCTCAGGAAAAACTCAGGTAGTATTTTACTATTAGTTAGGTTGATGCATGGTGTTCTAAATTTAAATGTCAATAACCAGTGGAGCTTGTTACAGTATTTTACTGTTTGTTTAGCTTTTAAGTTTGTCATCTGATGTTTCCCAGATAATGTAGTTGTTGAGTCATTTGCACTGATTGTAAACTGTGCATACAAAGCAATCTTTTTTTTTAAGACTGGTAAACCTTAATGGTGTAGACTCCTCTAAAGACCCATGTCTTTTATTTATTGGATAGCACTGTGGTTTCCAGACAAGTCTAATATGATTAATTTGCAAAAATATCCTTCCATCATCCCATCAGTCTTTCAGTTGTCATTCTTAATACAACTGTTAAAATGTTATGTCCGGCTGGATGGATCCAATCCATCTGCATTATGGAGTCCACAGTAGGGATCTTTGCTGCTTTCCTTCAGCAACTCCCTGAGCTGCAAATTTGTGACAGGGAAGTTTTGTAGTTTCATTTATGTGAGAGGAAGAGGGCAAGGCAAAATTATGAACGTCCCAGTGTCAAGGCCAGGACCTATAAAGATCTAAACCTGCTTAGGGTGGCACTGCCAGAGAGCCGGGGATAGGAAACACAGACTAAGCAGCGGGACCTGCACTGTAACAAGGAACAAGAACAGGATTGGCACCATGGATGGATCGTTCACTGCTGAGTGACTGATAAATGTACTGTATGTATACTACATACACTAATGAATCTTCTGTCTGGTACAAGCCATTTATAGTGCAAGCAGTAGTCTTAATTCAGTGTTTTAGTTTTGATCATCCATTAGTAAGTGGTCTGTAATAAGCAGTGGTGTGTGCTCTCTTGTACCAGGTGTTTTATTTAATTAGGAGCCAGTTTGATGTAGTGGTTAAGTGCGCAGACTCTAATCTGAGAGAACCGGTTTTGATTCCCTACTCCTCTTGCAGCTGCTGCATGAACTTGGGCAAGCCATGGTTCTGTCAGAGCTGTCCTTGAAAGAGCAGTTCTTGAGAGAGTTCTCTCAGCCCCACCTACCTGGGGAGGGGAAGGGGTTTGTAAACCCCTCTGGGACTCTGAGTGAATTGAATAAATCCAATCTCTTCTACTTCTTCTTCTTAATTCTTCATTTCTTCCTAGTTGATGTGTCACGTCTTAAAAAAACTCATGGAAGTAAAGCAAGTGAGGGAAAACTTCTTACAGGTTCATTTAAATGGTAAGAAATACACCATTTGATTACTACATTTCTGGAAGATTACTTTAACTTAATCTTGTAATTTAGTATTCATTTGTGTGGACTGAAAAATGGTAAGGTGGTTTTCTTTTGTTGCCACAATGTTCACTAGCAGCAAGGATAGAATTGTGAACAAAGCCTCTGTAGTGCTGCATGCTCAGCTCTGTCACTGTCTGATCTTAGAGGAGACATTTAAGGATATATGAGGAGGTTCTGGCCCCTAGATGGTTGATGCCAAGGCAGTTCTGAAATTTACCGTGGATGACAAATACAGTTTATCACTATATGAATTAGTCTAAGGGACTAGGACTCTAAACCATGATGTAATCCTGGCTTGGTATACTGATTTATATCACAAAACTGTGGTTTGTTTTATGTAACAATAAACTGTGGTCTGCAGCAAAAGCAGAAGTTTTTGATTAGCTGGCAGAAACTGGGAGGTGTAAGCTGCCTTGCTTGTGGTTCCCCCTACCTGTTCACATAGCGACCAATCATGGTATATTGCATAATCTGAATGATGCTTTTGTCTGCTGCTTGTCTTTTTATTAAGGTTCTTTCCTTCCTTTTTGCTTTGAGAGAAGATTTCTACCACTTAGATTTACAAGGATAAGCAAAATATAAGTTACGTATTTGCTTCATCTTGTAGGGCTACTACAGACCAATGATAAGATTGCCCTCAAGGAGATTACAAGACAGCTAAATCTGGAAAATGTGGTTGGAGATAAAGTTTTTGTGAGTAAAAAGTTTAGATATTTCAAAAAGTTATATAGGCTTTTGTTGCAGTAGACCGAGGGTCCCCAACCTTTTTGAGTCTGTGGGCACTTTTGGAATTTTAGAGTGGGTAGTGAGTGCAACTGTAAGAATGGCTGCTGCCAAACATAGAGCCAAACCCAAAATGGCTGTTGCCGAAGGGGAAACAAAACCCAATACCTCCTTCCTCACTTTGCAAAAGAATCTCAAAGTGGGAATAAAAAGAAATGAAGGAAAGCCCGAGCTGGGAGAGACTAAGAGACTGAGGAATAAGAATAAATGAAGGAAATTTTTTTTGGGGGGGGGTTGAATTAAAATAAATGAAAGTGAGTTTAACATAGTTCTCATTTTGAATGTTTCTTGAATTATTTTCTGGGAATAAATAATGGGAACTAGATCCTAGAGAAACCATCTTTCCTTATCTGGCTAGGAATTTGCAGCAGAGGAAACAAAGAAATTAGTGATGTTAAAGAAATTTACAGTGCATGTGAAAACAGTCCTTTGAACTGTGTAAGCCAGCTGCCTTAGTGTTAAGGTGAATGTCTTCAGCCACCTCTGAAGCATTATGGCGGGGTCTCAGTTAATTAGTCTCAGCATTCCACAATTAAGGATATATCTGCCGATCAATCTCCATTTTACTTATTTGTTCCCTTCACTATGTTTTCCCCAGAATTAAACCCAAACAAATGGTAACAATATAAACTAATCTTGTTGTTCCTGTTTGGTCCTTGAATCTGTTAAACCTTCATTATGCTGTATGTTAATTTACTCCTCAGCCTCTACCTACATGTATGGACTAGTAATTTCCATTTCATTGTATCAGTAGAAGTGTGTGTGCACATGAAAGCTTATACTTTGAATAAAACTTTATTGTTCTTAAAGGTTACAGTGGACTCAAACTTTGTTCTTCAGCCACCTCTGTTTATGATGTCAAATGTGGTTTCACACAGCACAGCCAATACTTGTTGGCAGGGTTTAAACATGCAGAGGAATGGAGCACCAACTGTTGTAAAGAAAATAACTCGGTTTATTAAAGAAGAAATAAACTCTTGTATATTCCAACACGCCTTCCCCAGGTCTATTGTGCAAGTCCACAAGGTTCATTTTTCTTCTTAGAATCTCAGTTTTGCAAAGAAAGGACATAATTTGAAATTGTGGGATGTCCCTAATCTACCTGTGATAACTACCATGTTTCCCCAAAAATAAGACACTGTCTTATATTTATTTTTTCTCAAGAAGACACACTAGGGCTTATACCACAAATGCATAGAAATCCTGCTAGGGCTTATTTTTGGGGTAGGTCTTATTTTCAGGATAACAGGGTAGCAGTCCTTCAGATGTCCCCCTTCTGATCTTCAAGGAAGTGCACTATAGACCTTGTATATTCCAACAATTGTAACATATAGAGAAGTTGAAATCTGCTGTATTTGCTACTTGGAAAGTATAAGAAAGACATGAGCAAGTTACCAATCTGCTTTCTTTGCTTTAGATAATATGTGATGGAGAAACCCAGTGCATGTCTCCCATAGCCAGGTTGGAATTTCACTTAAAACTCTTGCATCTTGTTTTGAGACAAGTGTGCAAGTTCTTGTGTGATCCTGCAAAAGTGAAGAAAAAGAATTTGCATCATCTGTCTGTGTAGCTGAAAAGTGCAAAGCTACCACCATTCTCTGAATTGAGGTAGCCTGGCTTCACCAGGTTGTAGGAGTTATTCTAGATAACACTACGCAGTTGCAGATTTTGCCATACTGTCTTCCAGCCAAAGTGTAAGACCACCTACACTTTTGTAACTTTTCAAACTGAAGTCAGCCTGCTTTTTCACAGTTTCTCTGAGCCAAGGGATCTGCAACCTATGGCTCCAGAGCCACACGTGGCTTAGTAAGGAACCAAATACACCTCTTTAAAAAAGAAAATGAAACCTTTATGTTAAGGTATATTCTATTGGTAGGTGGGTTGCTAGAATAACCAGTATGTAAATGGAATGGCAGGCAAAGATTTTTATGGGACTACAAAATTTCTTAAGGTATTACAGAAAGGGAAGTGATAGAGGTTGACAGTAGCCAGTAATCCAAGTGCAAACCATCCACAGGTTTATGCTGGTGAACGTCACACAGGGTGCTCCTATATATATTTACTACATGTTGTGAGAGCTCATACATGATACTTCTAATAAAAAAATCATCAACCAGGATTTGAGCTGCAGAAAATGCATAGATTATTATACAACATGCCAATTATCAGTAACATACATTTTCATTTATTTAAATGGGCTTTCTTATAATGGCTTTCTAATGATTTTTTGTTCTGACTTTTAACATAGTTTGGCTCTTAAATTATAAAAGTTTGCTGACCTCTGTGCTGCCTGTCAAGATGGGTCCTAGAGAGCCATAAAGTGCATTGTGAATCTCTTGTTTTAGGGGCACAGAAAATGCTAGGTGGCAAGGAAAAAAGCCCAATTTTTCCTCCTTCAAGTGTTTTTCTTAAGACTAGCTTTTTATTTGAAAGTAGAATAGTCTTGTGCTGAAGTTAGTATTTGGCATTACCCCCCCCAAAAAAAAATACCATAGGAGGAAATATTCTAAGAAATACCTGTTTTTTAAATAATAAAAGCAAGTTTCCAAATGATAGTTGACTTAGTAGTTTTTTCATAAAGTAAAATAATCATTCAGACTTTTCACTTTTCTAGGGTAGTTTTGCAGAAAATCTTGCATTTCTTCTTGAAGCATTGAAGAGAGGTAAAAATGTTTACTTTGTAATGAATGATAAATAATGTGTGATTTAATCTAGCATGACTGTATTGTAAATTGGTAGAGATGATTTAGGTGAAGAGAAATATGGGATTGTACCTTAACTGGATGACCCTGGGGGACAAAGCTTGGGTGTGAAAGAAAGACTTCTGTTGCTTCTGTAAGATTGCCTTAGTTTCCTGTTAGAATCTTACAGCACTTGTAAAATTATGAAGGCAATGAACTGAAGTCCTCCAAGTCATCTTTATTCTACTCAAGGATGATTTAAACACCAAACAAGTGAAAATGGGGTGCTGTAAAGTTGGGAAATGCTGCTTAAGTTTATTGCAAATTTGATCTCTTGTGTGTTGGCTCTTTAGAAATAAGAAGATTCATACTTTACTAGGAATGCGAAGTATAACTGTCAGTCCATGCTGGACATGAACAGTTCACACGGCTCTTACCCACAAAGTGGCTAACCCCTGAAGGTCATGCAGGAAGGCCCAAAGCCCCCCAGCCCTTCTGGAGCTCATGTGGCTACACTGGCAGTAGACATAGGCCCTTTCTTGCCATGGAATGCTGAAGGATGGGCGCTGTTGGTGTGGCACTCCATAACAAAGGAAAACATGAGGCTACTTCCTTTTCTAATAATGAATGCTAATTTTGTGTATTGACTTGTACATTGCCATACATTTACGTCAGTCTCTCAGGCACCAGTGTTGACGTTTTGGTAATGTACATTGTTTAATCCTAATGTTTTACCAGTTTGTTTTGCTGTTGGTTGTTTTAGGTGACCGTGCCAACAGTTGTCCGGTGCTATTTGTTCTGGAGGAATTTGATCTTTTTGTTTATCATAAGAACCAGACTTTACTGTATAATCTCTTTGATGTATCCCAATCTGCACAGACGCCTATAGCTGTTATTGGTCTCACTTGTAGACTGGTAAGATGGGTTTAGTTTCCCCCCCTTAATATATGGAACCCTTAGAACATATAGCTCACATACTGGTTTTGTAAGGTGCTTGAACTGACTTAAGATACTCTTCTTCTAGGGCAGTTAAGGTGGTTTTAGAGAATATGAATTGGCTCCATGTATATGTCAGATGGTGCTTTAGTTAAAATTCTGAATCTTCTGCATGTGCAACGGAAGGGCAGACAGCTTTAGCGCTCATGCTGTTAAAGACAACTGCAAGTTAATTCTGTTTCGTTGGATCTCTCACATGTGGAAATGTCAAATTGTGAAAAAAATCAGATCTGTTTAAGACATAGAATGAAATAGTGAAGAATGAGGTCCTATGTGATCCCTTTGTTGCTCTGTTTGTGTACAGTGTAAAAAAAATAAATACCTGATCAGAGGTTGATTAACAGCAGGTTGAAAGGTGTGATCTAGCTCAATACAGGGTAGTTTATGATAATTATGGATGAGATTAAGACATGTAAATATTTATGGTAGAAGAACTGTTTTCAGCAGTTTAGTAAAACATGAAAAACCATTCAGTATTGGAACAAAGTGAAAACAGAGGAAAATATTAGCAAATTGTTTGATAAGCAATTCATTTTGGTCTTTGGATAATAGTGAAATATGATTCTATTGACCTATACATACTGACCTCGGAGTTGTCTCCAGCATTTGATCTGCCCAGCAGAAAGATAGCTTGAATCAATTTTTCAAAGCTAGTTCAGATGTCTCGTATAATTGTAATAATTAAGTTGAATGGTAATATTGAAAGCTTTTTGTTGTGTTTACTAGGATATTCTAGAACTCCTGGAAAAGAGAGTGAAGTCAAGATTTTCCCACCGACAGATATATTTGATTAATTCTTTTGATTTTAAAAAATACATTACTATTTGTAAAGAACAGCTATCTTTACCGTCAGAATTTCCAGAAAAAAACTTTGCTCAGAAATGGAATAAGAACGTACAGGTAATTGAAATAAAGGCAGCAGTGTCCAAGCCCTTGAAATGTCTTGCTGAGCATCCTTCACAATCACCAGGCTGATCTATTGTAAAAAAGTAATAAATGGAGAACATACCTTTTTGTTTCCAAGATAGTGATTATATTTTGAAATCATGACGTTATTGAAGTGAAAAGATAGTTTCAGAGCATAGCCCGTGTTGCTTTGCATTATAAGAGCTGGATTCAAGTCCAGTAGCATCTTAGAGACCAACGAGATTTTCAGGGCATGAGTTTTCAAGACTCAAAACTCCTGTCGTCTGAGTCTCTAAGGGGCTACTGGAATCAGATTTGGTTCTTAAGTCAAAAGATGCATGATAGCATATCCTTATACTAATAGCCAAGTTGCCCCCTCCGTGCGGATACTTAAATCAGCACGGAGGGGGCAGCTGGGGGGCCGGGGGAGGTTTGTGCACACGTGGGCCAATCCCCACGTGTGCACAAAAATAAAAAAAGTTAAAAAAAAATTCGGGGGGATGTTTAAATCCCCCCGAAAGTGCAAGAGCGTCTCCTGCGCGTGCGCAGGAGACGCTCTGCTAACGCTGGGAGCCGCTGCCGCCGCCTCCTCCTCCGTCTCAGGGCGGCCGGGCGGGCCGGCGGGCGGGGGGAGAGCCAGCGAGGCCAAGGAGCCGCCTCCGCCGCTGCCTCCTCCTTCTTGGGGCGGGCGGGCGGGGGGGAGCCAGCCAGCCAGCCAGCAGGGAGGGCAAGGACCGGCCTCGCCGCCTGCTTCTCGGGGCGGCAGGCCGGCGAGCGGCTCAGAGGTGCTGCTGCCGGCGGCGGGCCAGTCGCCGTCTCGCTGCCTGTCCTGGCTCCGGGGGCCGCCGCCACCATGCCGAGCCCGAGAGGAGGAGGAGGAGCCGCTGCCGGGTCTGGGGGAGAGGGGAGGGCCCCCGGGTGGGAAGGGGGGAGGGGGGAGGGAAACAGCGAGGGGCGAGCGGCTCTCCGCTCGCCCCTGGCTTCATTGCCAGGTTGGGAGGGGGGAGGGGGAGGGAAACAGCTTCAATGCCCCTGGCTTTAGTGCCCCGGGGGGAAGAGGAGCTGAGGGGGAGAGGCAATGGAGGGGGGTGGAGGACAGGGGGGAACCAGCAGGATGGGGGGGTACTTACCCCCTCCTGCTGCTTCCTCCTCTGCCTCCCCCCCCGCGAGTATCGCGGGTCCCCCCTTGTCAAGTATAATTTGAGAATGTCTTGGGCCTCTTAACGCCATAGGTCCTGGTCAGATGTCAATACCGTAGTTGCCATGCTCACTAGCTGCCAACCCGCATGCTGCATCATTCCTGAGTTAAGCAATCCATTTGTCCATCTTCATGGCTTCTGTGCAGTCCCGCATGGGGACTGTGCAGGCCAGACGAGGAGATGAAACTTCTCAAGATTTCCAGATCTTTCTAAGGCTATTGGAGTGTTCCCCTTACCCAAATGGGTATGGGACAGAGGTGGTAAGAGCACTCCTCCTTTAGTCCTCTCTTTACAGTTGTGGAGACAGGACTCTCTCTGTTCTAGCTCGCCAGTTTACCTCAGGAAGAATTTTTGCCGAGACAAAATGGGTGTCTTGCATCTTCAAACAGGTGCCTAAAATCCCGAAAACAAAATGATTATTTTGTTTATTTAAGCATTTTTATGCTGCCTTTCCACCCAAACATAAAAACATTAAAACATTTGAACAATTAAAAACACTTAAAATGTATAAAGTAATTCAATAGAAACATATACAAACATCACCAGAACCAGGAAGAAGGGCCAATAACCATTTCTGGGGAAATGGCAAACAAAGCAAAATTATACAAGTATGTAGTGAAATTGTCCTACAAAATGATATTTCACACAAAATCTCTTAATTTAAAGCATAGCAAAAAATAGTGTTTCTAACAGCTTACTGTTTCTGCATTCTTTGAAAGATTTTGTTATATGCTTGTCTACCTTCCAAAAACTATAATGGGAAGCATCATTGTGATCTTGCAGCAAATATTGTGTGTTTCCTTTGTAATTGCAACTACTTATGATGGAAAATATATCTTACCAACTGTAAAGATTTCTTTATGTAGGCTATTCTACAAATAATTATTTTAATATATATATACATATATTCCAGTCTCTCTTCGAAGACCAAACCGTGCAAGATGTACTGCAAAATCAATTCCATTATAGCAAAGATCTACGATCTCTCTACATGCTGTTGGTAAGCGGACTGTACCTCAAAGATATTATAGCATTGGAAAAGGTGCAGAAAAGGGCAACTAAAATTATTAAGGGAATGGAACACCTTCCCTTTGAAGAAAGGTTAAAGAGGTTAGGTCTTTTTAGCTTGAATAAATGACTATCGAGGGGTGACATGATAGAGGTTAACAAAATTATACATGGGATAGAGAAGGTAGAGAAATAAGTACTTTTCTCCCTGTCTCACAATACAAGAACTCATGGGCACTCCACAAAATTGATGAGCAGTAGGCTTAGAATGGATAAAAGGAAGTACTTCTTCACTCAAAGAGTAATTAACACGTGGAATTCACTGCTGCAGGAAGTGGTGGCAGCTACAAACATAGCTTCAAGAGGGGACTGGGGCTCCATCAGTGGCTATTACCCACAACATATAGATAAAACACTATGTCTGGGGCAGTCTTGGTGCTTGGGGGAAACAGTGGTAGGGCTTCTGGAGTTCTGGCTCCACTTGTGGACCTCCTGATGGCACCTGGGCTTTGGCCACTGTGTGACACAGACTGTTGGACTGGATGGGCCATTGGCCTGATCCAACATGGCTTCTCTTATGTTATTATCTTTTTTAAAAAATGCTGAATTTCATTTCTGTAGTTACTATAGCATCCTGTAGATATCAATTTACTCACCAGCTTTCTTGCAAAGAACCTCTGACTTGCATTCTTTTTTACCATTCATCTTCAATAAACTTGAGATGTATTCAAAACAAGGAGCTCAAAGTATCATACATAGTTCTCCTTTCACTGTTTTATCCTAACAGTGATCCTAAGAGGTAGATTAGACTGGGAACGTTTCACTGGCGTATGGTTAACCCAGTGATCTTCATGGAAGTTCCAACTGAGGTCTACCTTTTGTACATTTCTTCTTTTCAGATCCAGGGTTTTTCCATTAGACTAGAAAATCCACTGATGTATTTTTTATCATGATTGAATAACATTAAACTATTTACATGTAGTTGGATGAATGCAAGGGGAGCAAGTCTGCAGAACTGGGTTTAGTTTTTTTTACTACTTTGCTTAGGAGCCTCTTGCATCCCTGAAAAGCCACTTACAGAACTCTGCGAGACCAATATGCCATGCTAGCTGCACAAGAATTAGTATGGGGGAGTGATTTTGGTTGACTTTTCCATTTGGCTAGAGCCCCTTCTCAAGCCTCCATCGGAATTGGCTTTTGAGCAGGGTACAGGAGGTTGCTGAGGGTGGGAGAAAGTGGCAAACAAGACCCTGTTGAATGTTCACTGTTCTTAGAAACCTGCAAGTGCAGCACATCTTCACGTTCCTGGGATCCCAGATCACCGCAGACTGTGACAGCAGCCATGAAATTAAAAGATTTCCTTGGGAGGAAAGTGATGGCGAACCTAAACAGCATGATAAAAAGTAGAGACATCACCCTGCCAACAAAAGTCCGCATGGTCAAAGCAATGGTATTCCCAGTAGTCATGTATGGCTGTGAGAGTTGGACTATAAGGAAGGCCGAGCGCCGAAGAATAGATTCTTTTGAACTATGGTGCTGGAGGAGACTCTTGAGAGTCCCTTGGACTGCAAGAAGAACAAATCAGTCAATCCTCAAAGAAATCAACCCTGACTGTTCCCTGGAAGGCCAGATAATGAAACTGAAGCTCAAATACTTTGGCCACCAAATGAGAAGGGAGCACTCACTGGAGAAGACCCTGATGCTGGGAAAGATTGAAGGTCAAAGAAGACGGGGACGGCAAAGGATGAGATGGTTAGACAGTGTCATAGATGCAACGAACATGAAGTTGAGCAAACTTCAGAGGACGGCGGAAGACTGGAAGGCCTGGCGTGATCTGGTCCATGGGGTCGCGAAGAGTCGGACTCGACTGTGCGACTGAACAACATCCCATTGGCAGGCTCAGAGTGGGTAACATCATATTATAATAAATACAATAGTACAATTAAAATCTAAAACACAATATAAATATTAAAATTGGTAGTACAGCTTAAAGGTGAAAATTCGGCGGGCTATAACCGGTTCTGATCCGTTGATATTGATGAAGTAGTGCCCAGTTGTCAGTGGGTGGATGACGGCAACCTCAGGGGGGCCGTATATGGGCCCCTGCTGCCTCAGCCAAAGGCCTGGCAAAACAGCTCCATCTTGCATGCCCTGCGGAATTGAAGAAGATCCCACAGGTCCCTGATCTCAATAGGGAGCATGTTCTACCATGTGGGGGCCAGGGCAGAGAAGACACTGACCCTGGTTGAGGCAAGACAGACATCCCTCGGGCCATATACCACCAGGAGGTGTTGATCTATAGAGCATAGTGCTCTTCAGGGCATATACAGGAAGAGGCGGTCCCTTAGATATGTTGGTCCCTGGTCATATAAGGCTTTGAAGGTCATTACCAGCACCTTAAAGTGAATCTAGTACTCAACTGGCAGCCAATGCAGTTGGTGGAGCACATGTGGAACGTGAGCCTGCACAGGTGTCGACGTCAGCAGACACGCTGACACATTTGCACCAGCAGACACATTTGCACCAGTTGCAATTTCCAGATCAGCCTCAAAGGCAAGCCTGTGTAGAGCGAGTTGCAGTAATCAAGTTTGGAAGTGACTACTGCATGGGTTACTGTAGCTAAATCTGGGGGGGGGGGGAGAGAGATAGGGCTTCAGTGACCTAATCTGCCTAAGATGGAAAAATGCAGATCTGGCGACTGCAGGAACCTGGACCTCCATAGAAAGAGAGGCATCCAGTGTTACTCCCAGGCTCCTCACTGTCTGTGCCTGCACCAAAGGCGCCCCTTCCAGTGTGGGAAGCCTGGTGCCCACATCCACCCCCCCACATGCACACACAACCATCCTGCCATAGCGTCCAGAACCTTGGCCAGATTTTCAGGGATGGATGACGGGTGGCCCGTCAGATAGAGCAGGGTGTCATCAACATATTGATGACAACCCAGCCCACAGCTTCAGACTAACTGGGCGAGGGGGAGCATATAGATGTTAAATAACATTGGCAAGAGGATTGCCCCCTGCGACCCTCCACATTCCAGTGGGTATTTGGGGGAGATCCTCTCGCTGAGCACCACCCTCTGTCCCTGACCATGGCGAAAGGAGGAAAACCATTTCAAGGCAGTCCCCTGAACTCCTACGTCAGTGGATCTTTTCTGTGTTTCCTTCTCTCCAGCAGTCAATTCAGCTCCTGGACAAGATGATCCCCCTAGTTTTGATACCCATGTGAACGAATAAGCATGCAGGGCAGGATAGTGCAGTAGGTGGAGAGAGAGAAGGGGGCAAAAGTACCATTTTCTGTCTCTACTGTAAGAGCAGCTTTGCTGACAGGAGATGGGGGGGAGGGGATGATATTTCTGCCCTCTCTGCAACCTGAATGGCTTTTAGTCCAGGAAGCCTCTGCAACCCAGGGCCAGAAATTACTGCTGGGGAAGGAAAACATCTGCAGTTCCCAGTGCCTTCTGCTGTTAGGACCACCCTTATTTATATTAAATATTTTTACTGTTGCATTTTGTTTAAATTTTGTGCTACTAAGTTCTATTTCTGCAAGGTAAATAAACCAGCTTTTTTGATTTGAGTCAAACCACTTAAACATTTTAATTGTCTAACAAAGGAGGCGTAACATAAATTGCAACTTCATATTGTAGCAGTTGTAGCCTTTTCTTAGGCAGTATTGTCTTGTTGCCATTGTAATGATACTTTTAACTTCTTTGTTACCCTTGTTCCAGCTCTTGATAAATGTCATAGTCCATCATCCAGAACAAATCGTTTTTCCTGTCTTTTAATATATTTTGATTTCCATATCCTGTTTCAGAAAGTTAAAATGTTTAAAATATTTCAATCAGATTACCAGTACAATTAACACATTTATCAGTATATCTAATTCTGAATATGACCCCATTTGTGGATGCTTAAAGCTGGTTATTGTGGCCAAAGTCAGACAAGACAAATCTTTCTACACACCTGAGAAAAACTCCATATTTGCGGAAAAATCTGAAATCTTAAACACACACACACACACACACACATGGAGGGGGGTTTAAAACAACCCAAATGATAAAAGGAGTGCCTGTGGCTTTAAGGAATAGATGCCTCAGTGTTGCTGCCATTCAAGCCTTGGTTTCTGTCAGGAAAAGGCAGGAAGGGGGGACAGGGCCCTTTCCAGGATTGTTTCGGCCTTTAAAGGAGGACTCATTGGGGCTAGGTCTTGCAGCAACCCCTGGGTGACTAGATACCATGCAACTTCCATGGCTAACCTAAGCCTGGTTGCTTGCTACTATTCAACAGCAAGCCACCCCACTAATGCTGGGGTAATGTAGTCGTTAGAGCTTCAGAGTAGGGTTTAGAAGATCAAAGTTCGGATTTTTAATCTGCAGTGGAAGTTTGCTGAGTGACCTTGGGCCAGGCTCACCCTCTTAACCTAATGTACCCCATATGGGGTTTTTGTGAGGATAAAAAGGAGGAGAGGAAAATGATGTAAGCCGCTCTGAGTCCCCATTGTAGAGAAATGCAGGATATAAATGAAGTGATATAGCTGAAGATGGGTGTGTGTGTGTACAAATAAAATTGGTTGGTTGGTTGGTAAGTGGGAAGGAGAGAAGGAAGCAGGGAAAGGTGAAGATGTGGGGGCTACCAGAAGGAGAGAAAGAGGAAGTAGTGTGTGGCGGGGATACAGGGGAAAGTCCTTGCAGGCTACCCACCACAGAATTTTGCTAGGGAGAGGCTTCCAAGGGGGATGGGAGGAGGAACAGCTGAAGATTGGGGGCAGATACAGCTATGTTGGCTGGTGGGTGGAAAGGAGAGAAGGAAGCAGGAAAAGTGGTAAGGTTACAGGGGCTTTCAAAGAAGAGAAAATAGTGGGAGAGGGGAAACGCTACACCTTGCAGGTCCCCTGCTTGTTCATAATATTCTTGGGTAGCCATCTTCATAATACCACCTATTCAGTTATTGACTGCATCAGTCTAGCTCTGATAAATGTTGGTTTCTGTCTGCTGGGCATTCTGTACCATTTCAATACGCCATTTCTAAAACAATGTGAAGAACAGTAATCCAGTTAATGTTCCTTTTAATAGATGTGAAAATATCAGGGCTTATCATTGCAACTACTATAAAACGTTATTGGTTAGGACTAAGATGCACATTTTCTATTGTAGATAATTATGGGATGTATTTGGCACTCAGCAGCTAAACACAGAATTATTCTTTTTTTCCTTTAGATGCTTGCTTTAAGTAGCGTGACTGTATCCCACCCATACATCAGCGCATCTGACATTCTTGAAGCAAGCAAACTGTGTAGAGTAGACTCGAAAGCAAACATTGTACATGGTAAGAAGGCAATGTTTATTCACAGCCTTAATAGTGCTTAGTTCCATAAGGCACAGGGTGGTTAATCCTAAAACCTTGTAATGCACAGGCCAGAAGTTCTTGTGGCATTGTACCTTTGTCTGCCACTGGAACACTTTTGGAAAATAGTCACTCTCCCTGTATAGTTTTGGATGGGTAGCCATGTTAGTCTGTATGCAGCACTAGAAAAGTGGAATAGTCTAGTAGCACCTTAAAGAAGTATTTGAAGAAGTGAGCAGTGACTCATGAAAGCTCATACCCTACCACAAATTTTATGAGTCTTTAAGGACTCTGACTCTTTTGTACTGTATAATTTTGCTATTTCTTGCCACAGAGTTATCACTTCATAGCTGCCAACTGGTGTTTTCATCAGGTGCTAGTTACCCCAGTTGTCCATATGAATTTCTCATATAATGTAAGTAAAAATGACAGGTGCAGAATGGAGCATGTGCATCATAACTGGTCTTGCATTACTGTTTGCATCAGAATAAATGGAGGGCCTTCATACGATTGGCTTAAACATAAACAAAACATATAAATTGTTAATTAAACGCTAGGAAATTTATTTTGGAACTGAAAGTCTTTTTATTTTTGGAAATGTATAAATGACCTAATTTTGAATATCTGTGTACAGATCTTATGGATTGTAAAGGTGAAAAACTTGGAAAATAAATTTTCAAAAAAAAAAGAAAAGAATAAATGGAGGGCCTTCCACCATAATTGCAAGGGATCCAAAGCAATGCTTCCTCTAAGCCGTGGAGTCCTGTGAGCAAAAATTCTCCTTTGTGAGCTGCTGGCATTAAAGTTGTGAGCAAGCGATTTGGCTGCTGCATGAATTAGTTTGCCTTGGAGCCACCCTTCCTGAGCTAAGACAAAAATGTGTGAGCTGGAGGCTAAAGAACTGTGAGCTAGCTCACACTAACTCAGCTTAGAGGGAACAGTGATCCAAAGTAGTGGGAGTGAAGTTAATAGAATTTCACCCTTGTGATGCAACCCACTGGGTGTCCTGAAATTCTGCTGGGGGGGGGGGAAACGGGGTAACCTCACAAACCAAATTAGGTGGCAGTGAGAGTAGGGGAACTACCCCCCCCCCCCCCCGCCATGCAAAAGTTTCATTCCAGCACAGTAAATGTCATTGTGCCAGCAGAACAGCCCATTTGGGTCAAAAGCCATATCTTGAATGCTGCATTACTATGAAATGACTTAGGATTTGTTATCTTTCTCTCATAGGTCTGTCTGTGCTGGAATTCTGCCTCATAATAGCTATGAAACACTTAAATGACATTTATGAAGGAGAGCCTTTCAACTTTCAGATGGTTTATAATGGTGAGGTGGTATCACAGATTCATAGGTTATCTATAAAAATTAGTGGCTTATTTCTCCCAAATCAATAATAATATATGTTTATTAATACAGAGTATCAGAAGTTTGTTCAGAGGAAGGCACATACTGTCTACAGCTTCGAGAAACCTGTGGTTATGAAGGTATTTGTAACTTATTGGTACATTGTGTAGTACTATACTGCCCTCTGGTGTATATTCAGTGTGTATGCACAAGTTTGTATACTAAATGTTAAAAGAGTTCAGAATTGATTTGCTAATGAGAGTAAAATTAGCTTGCTGTCCAAAAAGTAAAGACCAAGCCTAGATGTATCCTGTTTCTGTGTTGATGTTGAATTGGTTTCTGTTCTTAACTAATAAGCTAGTGAAGAATAATTTGTTTTGATTTTTTTTGTTTTAGGCTTTTGAACATTTGCAGCAGCTTGAGTTAATAAAGCCTGTGGAACGGCTTTCTCTATGTGCACAGAAAGAATACTTGCTCATGAAACTACTTTTGGACAACAATCAAATAATGGATGCTGTGCAGGTCTACCCAAACTGCCCAACTGATGTCAAACAATGGGCTACATTTTCACTAAACTGAAGCATGAACATCCTGCGGAAAGAGGCACAGTTGCTACTAATAGGGCTCCAAATCATTACTGCCAGTGAAAAAATAACCCAGCAGTTACTTCAGCTGCAGAAGGTGTTTTGTTAAAAGAAGAGTAATGTCTGTTTTTTGATTTTGGTTTTTTGGTTTCCAAGAAGCCAAATGAATGCCAGTCTCAGATTTGGTCTTCATGTTACACTAGGCTGTAGGTTGGCAATTAGTGAAGTGTTAACTGGCTTTTTATGTAAATTGTTCAAAAATCACCACTCCAGAGTTTTATGTGACTTGAGCTGATGGGATGCAAAGTCTGCTTGGACAGCAGTTGCCAAGCTGTACTTCAGATTTTTAAAGGCTGACTGTCCCACTTAAAAATCCAGCTGAGTACCATAGGACTGCTGAATATCCTGTACTGTCTATAGTACTTTCCTGTTTTTTTATGCTGTACTACCCTGTCTTTTCTCTGGTGTATCCTACAGGGAAAGCCTTTCTTGCACTGTAGCTAACAATGCAGTTTAGGCTCATGTTTGAGATACCTGCGTAACGCCTGAACCAGAACTCTTCAGTTACTTTACGATTGGCTGCTGCTATTCATAAACTTTTTAAAAAAATACCAATTTCTACTGTAGTTTCTCTTCTTTGGAGGAAGTATAGCGACACACCATGAGGCATCCTAGGCAATCATTGGGGATTTTTTTTCTAACCTGAGTTGGATAAAATTGAGTAAAGCTATACAAATCCTTTTAATTACTTTGCCCAAATGTGTTTCTTTGCAGTACACTTCCCTGTCTTTCCCTCTTATGACTAGTGTTTTGAAAACGTACTTCCAAACCGTCTACCTTAATCTTGTGTGCATCTGTAATAAAAAGGTTCACTTGTTCTGTATGATTGTGAATTATTTAGAGCTGGAAGGTTTCTCTTACCATTGTATTTGGAGAAGGAAGGGTTTTTAGTAGGAGACTTACGGAGAATAGAGAATAACGGGCCCTACCCTACTTTGCCTTCAAATGTTTAACTTAAACAGGCACTACTGTAATTAGCCTACCTTTTCCAGCCCATTTTCCATTGTGGTAATTGTTTCTTTACAGTTAACGTTGCCATCCGATGTTGTTTAGTCTTTGTATTTTATATCAGCTTGGACACTCAGTGCTGATTTTTGATTGGAGAAGGGGGCCGCTGAATTCAAATGACATATCAAAACAGGATTTGTTCTGTTGGCCATTTTAAGTCACAGTTGCAGTCTCTCAACCATAACTTGAGCATTATTCTGCTCTGGTACACATACCTTGAGTTGTGCTTTGTACATTGTTGGAGAGAACCAACTACTGACCCACCGCCTTGCAGCGGCTCTCCCCGTTCCTTCAGGGTCAGGGACAAAGGGTGGCTATTGGGGAACAGCTGTCCCGAAGGCACCCGCTAGTTTGCGGCATGCCCCCAAGGCGTGGTGCTTTCCCCAATGTTAAAATTTAACATAGGCTCCCCCTTGCCCAGATTGCCCGGAGTTATGAGCTGGGTTGTCACCAATATGCGGACGACACCCAGCTCTATCTGTTGTAGGATGGCCAGTCTGACTCTAGTCTAAGCCGTGGCTGGTTGGCTTAGACGGAGTTGACTGAAATTGAATCTGATGAAGGCGAAGGTTCTGTGCCTGAGTCAGAGCGGCCTGAGGGTAGGGATCCCACTCCCTACCTTCAATGCGGCACCATTGGTGCCAGCATCAGAGGTTAGGAGCTGCTCCTGGATGCCTACTTAATGATAGAGGCCCAGGTAGCAGCCACTGTGAAGTCACCCTTCTATCATCTCCGGCTGATTAGGCAGTTGGTTCCCTTCCTCGAACACAGTGACCTGGCAACAGTGATCCATGCAATGGTCACCTTGAGACTGGATTACTGGTATTGCTCTCTACATGGGGCTGCCCTTGTCCCAGATGTGAAAGCTGCAGTTGGTGCAGAATGCAGCAGCCAGGCTGTTGTTGGGCCTTTCTATGTGGGAGCACATCCAGCCTATGCTAAAATTTCTGCACTGGCTGCCTATAGCTGGTTCTTACCTTTAAAGCCCTATAAGGTCAGGGGCCTACATACCTAAGGGACCACGTTTCCCCACATGTTCCCGAGAAAGCACTACGATCAGGGAACCAAAATCATCTGGCCCTCCAAGGTCCAAGAGAAGCCAGGCTGGCTGTGACGAGGGCCAGGGCCTTTTCAGTGGTGGCTCTGCACTGGTAGAATGAGCTCCCAGATTTCTTCAGGGACCTGCGGGAGCACAGGGCCCGCAAGATGGAGCTCTTCTACCAGGCCTTTGATTAAGGAGCCACCATCAATAAATTGAGGCTCTGGCCCCAATACCAACATCACTATTAACAGCCAGTCCAGACTATGATGTTAGCTGATTATGGGTTAATGTTGGACGCTGCACTAGCACTTTATGCTATGTTTTATAATCATTTTGTTGTGGTTTTATTGCATTTTGTGTTTTAGTTCAATATATTTTATGTAAGCCACCCCGAGCCTGCCTTGGCAGGGAGGGCAGGATACAAATAAATAAAAATAGTAGTTACATAAGAGAAGCCATGTTGGTTCAGGCCAATACTCTGTGTCACACAGTGGCCAAAACCGAGGTGCCATCAGAAGGTCCACCAGCAGGGCCAGAACTCCAGAAGCCCTCCCGCTGTTGTCCCTCCAGCACCAAGATATGCAGAATACTAATAGTACCCTTACAATTGACACTTTCTAGGTTTTTCCCCAATTGTGGGGCAGGTACATGTGCAATTAAAGTACAACTGTGTTAGAGCTAAACCCCTTACTGTGCTGGACGGATATCAGAAATTAAACTGCCTGTGCTTTTTAATCTCCATCCATTCACCTATGCCCAATACAGGGAGAATTTTACTAGTTCCCATAGAGTATAGTCAATGTAACCATGAATATGCAGTGTTTTGAGAAAGTGGATGGGGTCATGTGGAGATGTTGCTTCAGCAACAGTTGCCAGTACAGCTCAAGTGTTTTTTGTTGCACGACTGAAGGTAAGGGTAAGGTGTGCATATGAATGAAAATATTTTAAAAGATAGAGCTTCTGCCTGAAATGCTGAGGAGTCACTATTAGAGTTACACATAAACTCGTTCCTTAACGTTTTGTGGTGGTGCCTGCTGGTTCCAAAAGGTTGGGGACTCCTGATTAAAACCGTCTCCCATACATGGAAGTATGTAATCTCCATACTATATGAATATTTATGCAGCAAAACTACTTCTTGAAACGTAAATTTATACTTGAAATGGTTATTCCTCCCACAGGAATGAATAAAGATAGCTGATTATTGTGCACAGTATGACTAAAAATCTGTTTGGGTGTGTAGAGACTGCTCAAGTAGAACTGGAGTTATTCATATAACAAAATACCAAGATCATGTTGGAAGTAGTATTTCGTAAACATGGTATACATAATTTAGAGATGATAAAACTTAAAAACAAGTATACAAGTCATAGTAGTCACTTAATTTTTTTATTCCTCTTTCTGTGGGAATAGGGAAAGAGCATACATTTTATACAATATTTAACAATCACTTTTATCCAGGATGGGATGTGTTTGTTTTTAAATACTTGCTAAAACTGCAAGTCAACAGTAGTACAACAACCTGTGCCCAGAACACTGACAAGTACAGAGTAAAGCTAAAACAATTGCTTACCGATATCTTGAGAGGTAACAGATCGTTATGGACTGAGTGTGCATAAAAAAAAATGGTACTGCTGGTTGAGTATCTTGAGGTAAATGGTGTTCCAACAAGGATACTGTTTTTATCATTTTTCCCATAAGCCTGTACATAGCTTTCTGCACCTTATACCAAATATTCCTAATAAAATGCATTAAAAAGGTTAAAAAGAGAAAACTGGAAAAAAGGTCAACCAACCAGTCACCTCACTTTGTTAAACTACAATCAGCAATTTTTTCTGTAGAACTGTAGTATGAACAAATATTTATTACTACTACATCTGGTTACACTTTAGTTATGCAAGAGCTACTCCACATGGATTTTGCTATCAAAGGTACAAAGTTGTGTGTTTCAATTCAAACTCATTTTCAGAATACCACCATGAATGAGAACGCTAGCTCAAGAACGCCAACAATTACGAGGCACAATCTGTTCCAAAATGCTAAGTTAATATTTAGTAGCAACTGTACAAAGAGTCGTCATGCATCATGTGATATAAAATTCTTAGCATCTAAAACTGAAAACGTATTGCAGGGTTTAGACTTTGAGTTGATCACAAAAACTGGCTAATCTGTTAAATCCTGTGGCAATTATATGGCAGCCAACTAAGTAGACACAGGCAAGCCAAAGACAACTGAAAACTTGAGCCAGGGGCCTAGCTTTTCTTCACAAGTCAAAAATACAAGGTAAACCACCAAAGCTGGCCATATCCACACAAGCTGTATGATTCAAACACGTAAAAGCAACAATGGTCACAATATCTGCCAGAAAGCAGAACATCTTCCCTAGCTCAGACTTTAGATGTTGACTTTTATTTATGACTCTTCACTCAAGCATTTGAAACTTCGCCACTTCTACATTTACTGCACTGTAAAGTTGGAAACAAAAAGGTGTTGAGATTTCCTGCAAGACAGTATTTTAAATATGGATTGAGACAGGTCAGCAACAGTTTAACGAAATCAGTATAAAAAAGCATCTGTGTTCCATTTCTGAATAATGTGGTGGTATTCTCTTTAAAAATCTGAACTTGGGGACTTTCAAAAGTATTGGATAAGTATGAAGAGGTGCATTATCCAGTTTGATTGTCTGTTTTGATTATTTCCCCTATATGACCAGCAAATAGACATGTATTTGCAAAAATACATAGAAGTTTCCTCAGGGGTCCTGGATGTTCAAGTTTGATGGGAAATTGCTTTATGAAAACCAAACATATTTCCACAGACAAAAGAAGTTGAATTTATGTTTTCAAATGAAAAATGGTTCTTGTATTTACATGTTTTTGGAGAACCAATTATGCTGTTCCTGCATGTTCCTAGTATATAAACACTCCCACCTGAGGAGAAATCAGATATATTAAATCCATAATCAACCATTAAAAAGTTCAGATCTTTTCGGTCAAGACATCTTGAATTGGGGTTAACGTACTGACAAGATTAAAAACAAGTATTACACAATCCAAACATGATATAAGCAATAGTCGCTTGCCCACATTGTCAACAATGAGCAGGTTTTGCCCAATAGTAAGTTTCCCAATTGAGGCTCGGGGTTCTTATGACTACCTTAAAACCATAAGACAAAAACAGTAAATTCTGGGTGATGTGCCAGTTACCTATGAACAACTCTGCTTGTAACCCTTCTCCTCCCTGCTTTAGAAAACAATGACCAAAATCTCATTTATAGATAATTCCTCTTTGTCCCCAGAAATTCAGTACATTAAAAACAACAACACTGGTTTAATAAATAACTGATTAGAAGAGAACATTCACAGTGAGCTCCTGATTGTGACATTTAAAAAATTCTTTATAAATCTAATGCATGATCTTTTAAAAAGTGACCTGACCAAAATCAGAATACTGGCTACTGTTGAATTGATAAGCTCATAATTTTAGAAAGTTAACTTTAACTTTGGCCTGTATAAACGTAACTGGTCAAATAACTGTAGTGTATTATTACTTTGAAAAGTACTTTGGCACCTGTCCGTTTACAGCCTGTTTTGCTTCAGTTGGTACACAGCTCCACATCTTAAATGCCTGTAACTCTGAAATATAGGAGTTAGGTTTAATGTTATAGGGCGCTTTTTTTTTTTGCTAGACTGTGCTACATCATCATCTCTACAGAAGTCATTGCATATTTGATGGTAAGCAATTTTTTTTAAAAAGAAAGATGTGGTTGTATGTTCTTCGTGACCATAGGACACACCTATGCATCACAAACATCAAATATTACTCTGACAAGTCGGCACCAAAATCAAGTGTTGTGAAGCTGCAAAAGGCAATGCAAAGCGTGAGGAGTTCTGGGTAATGAGGCTTCCTGAGGTGATCCTGAAACAGTGACACAGTAGTAACTGTATTCTGTTTAGTGAGACAGAAAATAGGCAGAATATTTACATACATAAATTGGAAAAAGCTTATTTCAAAAGAATCAGAAGAGCTTTCCAGTGCCACAGCTCACATAAAATTTTAAAAAGTCATGCTCAAATTTTCAAATAACCCTCAGACACAGCAAACCTAAATAATATTTAGTAAAATAAACGTATGCAATATTTTGGAAACTGGAGGTAAAATAATGCTTTAAACTAAAAACAGGGGAAGTCTGCCATTTCAAACACAATACTTTTTTTATACACAAGCTAGATCAAGGAAGGCGAA